CGACAGTGCTTGTCGCAAGAGGCGACTAACGGGATCGGGTGGTCAGGCTCGCTGACTTGGTTGATGCATGTCATTGTATCCCATTTGCGTGGATCGATGCTCATGATGATAATCACTTGATTGTCGGGTCCAGATTTATACACTTTTTAACCATGGACACTTACTTTCAAGGCACCATGCATTATTATATTACATATGTGGAACTTGGAAGACACCGTTAGATTCCCCATATAGAACGATTTTGCGATTTCTCTTTGTCCAAAAACGTTAGATATATTGAAGATGAATACATGTGCTGTTTTTATGTGAACGATATGACACTATAAGAAGAAAGTATCTCTCGCCATATTACACTGAATATCCATCTCTAAGACATTTCGACCACCTCCGTGGTCTAGTGGTAGAGCGTCCGCCCGGAGAGCGGAAGGTCTGGGGTTCGATCCCCGGCCGCGTCATACCAAAAGACGTTTAAAGATAATACTCGTTGTTACGCTGTCTGGCGCTCGGCTTTAAAGGGCTAAAACAAGGACTGGTCAGCTCGCAGTCAGTATACCGTGTCTGAGCGGGGTATTCATGTTAAACTGCGGCATGGTATCTCAGTATGCTAGCACTATAAATCGGCATCAGTCCGAACTAGTACAAGCAGCCACACACGTATGCACGTCGCTATATAAGTGCAATAATCTTGGACGCGACGTTAAACCCAATTTCACCTCACCTCTAAGACATTTTACACTTGCGTGATTTATCATGCTATATTAATATATTATGGGCCGCTGGCCTGTTACTGTTATGAATTGTCTGTCTGTCTATACAACAAATGCATACTTCCTTGTGTTATACTACATCTTTTCCTGTAAAGATTCGGGTTTCAATTGGTCTTCAGCAACAAGTACTTGACCTTAGAGGCGAAAAACGCAATCGGGTGGTCAGGGTCCCTGAACTTGGTCAATCACTGGATTGTCTGGTCAAGACTCGATTATTTACAGACCGACGTCATATAGCTGGAATATTACTCAGTGTTGCGTTAAACAACAAACAAACAAACAAACAAACTACCTCTACTTGCACTTACCTGCTAAATGTCACCACGTTCTATACCCTGTCGATGTACAGATGGGGGTCACGGGGGGCGCGATTCGCTGTGCAGAGTTGCGTCCCTTGTGTACGCCAGAAACCTATGATTGTGGGTTCGAATCCCGGTTCGCCCCGATTATGTTTCTAGGTTTGTCAGCACCATACCCTTGCTCGTGGGTTTTACCGAAGTGGTAAACGTCTGAGACCTGCATCACTTCGGGCTTTCCTCCAAAATTACGGTGACATGCCGCGATATAACTGTAATATTGTTGGGCCAATTGACATTAATATGCGTACGAACTGAGGTATAAATGTTCAAATCTTACCTTAGCGATTCTATTTCAGGGTACCTTTTACTTAAAACAAATTATATATTCCAACAATATCAACATATAACTGTTAAAAGTTTCTTAAATCTCACTGACCGCCTCCGTGGTCTATTGGTGGAGCGCCCGCGCGGAGAGCGGAAGATCCGGGGTTCGATTCCCGGCCGCTTCATACCAAAAGACGTTAAAAGATGGTACTTGTTATTACGCTGTCTGGGACTCGGCATTAAGGGGCTAAACAACGACTGGTCGGCTCGGAGTCAGTATACTGTGTCTGAGTGGGGTATTCATGTTGAACTACGTCATGGTATCTCAGTATGCTAGCATAGCACTATAAATCGGCATCAGCCCAGACTAGCACAAGCAGCCACACACACATGTACATGCCCGTCGCTATTTAAGTGCAATATTCTTGGACGCGACGTTAAACCCCATTTCACCTCACTTCACCTCTACAACTGCCTTTTTTAAAATATGTATGAGTATTAAGTCAAACCGTTCAGCACGACAGGTGACGACACAGTACAGCAACTCTATAGCGTGACCTTACTTTGCAATTGTGACGTCATAAAGAAACGTCGCCTCTCCTACACGCTGGCTATGCCACTCTTGATAAATATAATTTTTCATTTCGCACGAAACGTGACATTTCGTTCGATAAAGTGATTTAATCTGTAACCACAGGAAATTGCAATTTGTAAAGATTTCATTCTGATTTAGTACATGTCAATAGAGTGTCGCCAAAGTTTCAGCTGAATTACATATATGGGTGTTGATAAATTCTTACGCCATAATATTATTTTTTTATTAATATTAATATAATTAAAATTACTTGTACCGCGCGTAACTCCATGCAACGTATGTTCAAAACACAACAAATAAAACACACGAAGAGGTAAGTATCCAGGAGACGCTTGAACCGGAGTGGGGGGCACGGGTGGCCTAGTCGTCTAAGGCACCGCGATTCGCTGTGCAGAGTTGCGTCCCTTGGGCACGCCAGAAACCTATGATTGTGGGTTCGAATCCCGGTTCGCCCCAATTATGTTTCTAGGTTTGTCAGCACCAAAACCCGTGCTCGTGGTTTTCACCAAACTGGTAAACGTCTGAGACCTGCATCACTTCGGGCTTTCCTCCCCCATTAAGCTGACACGCCGTGATATAACTGGAATACTGTTAAAAGCGGCGTTAAACCCAACTCACTCACTTGAACCGGAGTAATGACTCCTGACAGGGAATTTCAAAGATCGGCAGAAATATGGGCAAATGTACGAGATGAGAATGTCATAAGTTTGGAGAAAGGAATACAGCTTAAATTGAGAGCTTGATCGGAGAGGACGAGCAGCTGGGGCAATACACGTTGCCGAGGTCACACAAGCTGGGAACGGCTCCTCCGTGAATACACTGGTAGGTCAGTGATAATAATTCGGAAGTTATCTGCCTGATGGGTAGCTAGTAACGTGATTTAAGAGGGGTGTAACATGACAATCTTTGGATGACCTGCTTACAATCTTTGTAGCTTTATTCTAGAGGGTTCGTATCTCATAATGAGAACGGCAAATCTGCGTTACCCATTTTCAAACGATTTATGTGGATCTTTTGACGCCGTAATGAGGGTCCAATCATCATAGCTTGTGTTTGGTCAGCATCTAACACGAGCAAATTCTCTACCATCTATTATCTGACCCGTGAAGATCAGGGGTAGAATAGGTCTTCAGCAACCAATGCTTGCCATAAAAGGCGACCATGCTTGTCTTAAGAGCCGACTAACGGGATCGGGTGGTCAGGCTCGCTGACTTGGTTGATGCATGTCATCGAATCCATATTGGGTAGATCGATACTCATGACGTCCATCACTGGATTATCTGGTCCAGACTCGATTTGTTACAGACCGCCGTCATACAGGGGAAATATTGCCGAGTATTAAACAGCAAACAAACATCCATGATCTGACAGTACGAGTGTATTCCTCCATGTTTGTGATGCAGTCTGTTTGGGACTCAGTGTCAAGACCAAAGCTGTCAGCCATTTTGGTGCCATCAACAAAAAGATGATATCCTATGTTTGAGGAGGCAACAATTAATGTTCCCCACTGGTTTGGTAAGAAGGGTAACAATATTGCGGGACACCACAATCCAACAGCTTCAGTTCCGATTCGAGTTTCTCGTGCATATATATTTACAGCGACCAAAAAGATACGAATAGATCCGTTTGATAAAGATACGATCGACTTCTTAGTCTGCAAACGGAGTATTGAATGATCAGTTGTGTCGAACGTCGTGGACAAGTCAAGGAGCTCCACTAAGGAAATATTTCTTTGTCAACATCTGTTCCTAAATCGTTCACAACACGATTAAAAACTATGTTGGGGCGCCACTGTAATTTACCCCACAACTTATATAATTTATGTAGGTGGTCGAAACGTCTATATCAAGCGTCCTTTTAATTCTGATTGCGCAAAACACGATGCTGATGTTTTGCGTTATAATTCCTGCTTCAGAATACTATTAAATATACGAGTGCACTTTTTATATACTCATCGACGAAAGAAACGTGAATACCATACATGTTTGTTAATATAATTATGCAGAACTACTCATATTCAAGAGACCTCAGATTGGTTCGACGCACAAAAGAACATACTGGTATGTTGTGTGTATCGACGCTCATGAACGCATCACATGTGACGTCATAGATCCATGACGCGAGATGCACCGTTTGTCTCGTGTGGGATTAGCGTGTTACGTTTGAAAATCGTGCAGCATATCGTGATAAGAATAAAGACTCTGTGGTAACACTTGACTGATTGCTAGTTTTGATAATACGTGGTACACATTTTAAACATCTCTTCTTAACGTACATACTTCTCTATATGTTTCTATGGTTCGCGTTTCTTTTGGAGGTGAGTATATAAAAAAAAAAACACTTGTCGATAAAACCCTCGACTTGGAACTGCTTAAATCGATTGATATTACAAACACTCTACATATCACATTGAAACACGTTTGAATGCCATGCGCCTTGCATATATATGCTTTCTGAATATAAAACGGCTGAATGTACGACGTCTCTTTATCCTCAAGGCACACAATCGTCTCCATGCACATAAACATTAGCCTTGCACAATTTCACCGACCAGTACTGGATACAATCAGTGGAATACTCCTATCCAAGCGATCTATAATACTGATTTGACCGCGATAACACTGCCTCTTTACAGTGATTGTCAACCTCGTATATCTAGGTATGTAGTTTCTTCCAATCTAACATACATAATGGAACATTTAGCCGCCCCGTGTAAGGCACGGCTCCAAATCGGGCACGGTAGGCCCATGTAACGAACAATGTGCGTGTCAGGCTTCATGACCGTGGTTATGCGCCAATACACAGATATACATTAGTATGTACATTTGGAATTATAATACAACCACCGCTCAGACAAAAGCTATTTAGTGACATAAAGTGAGATTACTTTCACAAACAGTTATGAATCGGAGGAATATACTACATTCATTGTGAAAGGCAGGTTAAAGAAACAGCATTTCTAATGTCGGTTATAGTCACAAATAATGTCCAATAAAACGATCAGCATGTGTTTACTCCTTCAGTTATGGTCACGTCTAGATACAGACCACACGGTGATATCCTCTGCTCTATCGGCCAGGTATAAATCAGGGAGATCAGGGTGTACAATTGTCAGTAATTGATTCCCGATCGGTATCACCAGCACTGTACGTATCAAGTCGTGTGTAGCAGATTTAAGACAAAGGGAGAGTTACCTCCCTTGTCCACTGGGTCACGAGAGAGTGACTCCCCCTTTGTTGCTGGACGTGATTCCCGGGAGATTAGCTATCGCTTAGTCTGCCACAGTATCGATCTTCATGAACGACCGATTGAAACAAATCAAAGGAGTATTAGTTGCAGTTTTGTCACAATGGACATCGATCAGGACTAAGAACGGTTGGCGTGCGGTGCCAGGAAGGGCAGCTAGTCAGGTGTGAGGGAATACCTATAGATTTCTTATTACTCCTGTCTAGGGATAATAGGGGTTGCATACACCGTGTGCTGGAGCTACCGTCACTGACCAGGCGCCATAGTCTACTCGTCCAACACCACAGACCAGGTACGCTTCAGTGAATAGTTAACATTATTTTCATTGTCAACATTGTATTGAAAAAAAAAATTTTATTTTAATTTGTTCGATGTGAAGCTGTACCTTTCGGTTAGAATTTCTCTCATTAAAAACTTTGAGTGTTTTGTTTTTACGTCAACGAATAACATCAAATTACAAATGTTCGGTAATGCTCATGAGGCAATGTACTTGGTTTACGAATGAGTATGGTTTTACGTCGCTTTTAGCAACATTCCAGCAATATCCCCGGCGGGGGACACCAGAAATGGGCTTTACACATTGTACCCATGTCGGGAATCGCACCGGGTCTTCGGCGTGACTAGCGAACGCGTTAACCACTAGGCTACCCGACCACCCCACTATGTTTACGAATGTCAAAATGTGTATTTCTTGTAAATCCATAGCAACGCCATGTCGTCAAGACCCCTGCCAGTTCCAGTGTCAAGGACATCCACGGATGACAAGCTCCTTACACTGCCAAGAGGGACACAAACAGTGCTGGTGAGTCCAACCGAATTATTGAAACGTCTATTTACAAATTGGTATGTACACGATGGAAGGGGGTATGGAATAGGGCTGGGACGGGTAACTCGGGTACTCGGATCGGGTAGGTCCTGTGTAGGACCCGGGTACCCACAGGACTACCCGGACCCGTGGTTAGTCACGTGATATATTGTTTGATGACAAAAACTCACTATAGCTCACTGGTTACACAAGTCGCTAATGTTCGCGTTTCTTTCTGACGATGCACACATTCCTTTTGGCTGGTATATGTTTCAGTAAAGATAAAACTTCAGTCAACTTCAGTGTATTGATCGTTTGATACAAGAATCTAAATAGTTTTGGCCAGGGCTGCAATAAATTCCCAATCAGACATTGTGTTCCCAACTCTTGAGACCTGCAGTGGGTACTCCGGTAGGGCCGGGTAATAGGGGATCGGGTACCCGGGTAGTAAATTTGGACTCGTCCCAGCCCTGGTATGGAAACGTTTTGAGCCTCGCATACTTGTCTATCAAACAACCCTCCACCGCAGCAACGCAGGCGTTTGAAGGTTTTGTTCTCGGGATCATTATGATGGATCCAGGTCGCCTCACCTGTCACTAACTTTAAATGAATATTATTCTGGGTTTCGATTACATCTGGTTAACAGGACATTAGACCACTGTTGACTTTATTTCATCCGATTGCATTCTTTTAACCCATGTAACAGGATATTAGACCTCTGTAGCTTTTATTTCATCCGACTGCATTCTAAGAACCCATGTGACAGGACATTAGACCTCTGTTGCCTTTATTTCATCCGACTGCATTCTAAGAACCCATGTGACAGGACATTAGACCTCTGTAGCCTTTATTTCATCCGACTGCATTCTAAGAACCCATGTGACAGGACATTAGACCTCTGTACTTTTGTTTCATCCGATTGCATTCTAAGAACCCACGTTACAGGACATTAGACCTCTGTAGCTTTTGTTTCATCCGATTGCATTCTAAGAACCCATGTGACAGGACATTAGACCTCTGTAGCTTTTGTTTCATCCGACTGCATTCTAAGAACCCATGTGACAGGACATTAGACCTCTGTAGCTTTTGTTTCATATGATTGCATTCTAAAAACCCATGTGACAGGACATTAGACCTCTGTAGCTTTTGTTTCATCCGATTGCATTCTAAGAACCCATGTGACAGGACATTAGACCTCTGTAGCTTTTGTTTCATATGATTGCATTTTAAGAACCCATGTGACAGGACATTAGACCTCTGTAGCTTTTGTTTCATCCGTTTGCATTCTAAGAACCCACGTGACAGGACATTAGACCTCTGTAGCTTTTGTTTCATCCGATTGCATTCTAAGAACCCACGTGAAAGGACATTAGACCTCTGTAGCTTTTGTTTCATCCGATTGCATTCTAAGAACCCATGTGACAGGACATTAGACCTCTGTAGCTTTTGTTTCATATGATTGCATTCTAAGAACCCATGTGACAGGACATTAGACCTCTGTAGCTTTTGTTTCATCCGACTGCATTCTAAGAACCCACGTGACAGGACATTAGACCTCTGTAGCTTTTATTTCATCCGACTTCATTCTAAGAACCCACGTGACAGGACATTAGACCTCTGTAGCTTTTGTTTCATCCGATTGCATTCTAAGAACCCACGTGACAGGACATTAGACCTCTGTAGCTTTTGTTTCATCCGACTGCATTCTAAGAACCCATGTGACAGGACATTAGACCTCTGTAGCTTTTGTTTCATATGATTGCATTCTAAGAACCCATGTGACAGGACATTAGACCTCTGTAGCTTTTGTTTCATCCGATTGCATTCTAAGAACCCATGTGACAGGACATTAGACCTCTGTAGCTTTTGTTTCATATGATTGCATTCTAAGAACCCATGTGACAGGACATTAGACCTCTGTAGCTTTTGTTTCATCCGTTTGCATTCTAAGAACCCACGTGACAGGACATTAGACCTCTGTAGCTTTTGTTTCATCCGATTGCATTCTAAGAACCCACGTGAAAGGACATTAGACCTCTGTAGCTTTTGTTTCATCCGATTGCATTCTAAGAACCCATGTGACAGGACATTAGACCTCTGTAGCTTTTGTTTCATATGATTGCATTCTAAGAACCCATGTGACAGGACATTAGACCTCTGTAGCTTTTGTTTCATCCGACTGCATTCTAAGAACCCACGTGACAGGACATTAGACCTCTGTAGCTTTTATTTCATCCGACTTCATTCTAAGAACCCATGTGACAAGAACATTTATGTGTTAATGGAGGAGTGTTCTACTGGCCCATAGGTGAAACCTGTGGTCTTTTCTAACTCGTGGTATTACTGAGTCATTCAGAACGGGGGTCATCTTCCACACTCTTTACCCTATCTCTTCTTCAGGGATATGATTGGTCAGTCTCACCTTTAACATGCAGCATGCAGCCGTTTAACAATATTTACTCGTGATTGATCCTCTATGGTTAAAACAATTCTACGCTGCGCGATTGATCCTCTATGGTTAAAACAATTCTATGCTGCGTCTAGATAAGATAAGATAAGACATTATTATCCAAAGGGAAATTCATAATGAAGAGTGCCTGGATCTCACTGGTCCACGCACCTCTGCCAACGATGCTGGAGCGCCTGGATCTCACTGGTCCACACACCTCTGACAACGATGCTGGAGTGCCTGGATCTCACTGGTCCACACACCTCTGCCAACAATGCTGGAGCGCCTGGATCTCACTGGTCCACACACCCCTGCCATCGATGCTAGAGTGTCTGGATCCTACTGGTCCACACACCTCTGCCACCAATGGTAGAGTGCCTGGGTCTCACTTGTCCACACACCCCTGCCAACGATGCTAGAGTCCCTTGATCTCACTGGTGTAGAAGGCTTCATCCTTGTGGTGTAAGAGGTCCTCCACAACAGAATCTACGTAGGAAGAGACGTTAGATGTTTCCACTATTTAGACCGTTAATCTGACAGTGGTGAATCCAAGACGCCTTCAAGTTTACAAATCGCTCCGCAAAGTCAGCTGGGTCTGCTGAAAATTCACACAAGAAATGGTGAACCTGGGGCGTAACTGATCGGGAGTCTGACGATTTGGAACCCATTTGTCATGCCTAGTTATTTCCTCAGAATGGTCTCAACTCTCTCAAGAGAGATGCCCACTGTATTGTATGTAACGTGTGGAGAGTCGTCGATCCTCCATAATCAAAGTAGTTTGTCATTTCCCTTAGTAGTGGTCGTTGAATGTCTTCCTGATCTTCGATCAACTTCGATCATCTTCGATCAGTTCCGAGGTTCTTACCCTCCTACCCTTAAACCACTAAACACTGTCACCTATCAACAGTGGCAAACGAAGGAACACCATCCCTTAAAATAGACCCCCATGTCCTCATGGATGTCTGTTGGCGTTCTCCCTTTCAGTTGGGGGCACGGGCGGCCCAGTCGTCTAAGGCGCCACGACTCGCTGTGCAGAGTTGCGTCCCTTGGGCACGCCAGAAACCTATGATTTTGGGTTCGAATCCCGGTTCGCCCCAATTATGTTTCTAGGTTCGTCAGCACCATACCCGTGCTCGTGGGTTTCACCGAAGTGGTAAACGTCCGAGACCTGCATCACTTCGGGCTTTCCTCTAGCATTAAGCTGACACGCCTTGATATAAGTGGAATACTGTTAAAAGAGGCGTTAAAACCAACTCACTCACTCACTCCTTTTCAGTTGGAGATAAGCAGTGGCCAATATTGTCCATTGTGTCAAGAGAGGACACTTAATAGCTTTGTTACCTGCAGAAATATACAGGTTGTGTATTTAGTTCCATTGTAGTCTGTAAGCATGAGAAGTATTGTACTTTATACATAAAAAAAACTATTAAAGGCGTACTATACACGCTTCGTTGTTGGGCTTAGAACTTTTCAGCCTCACCTCGTATGTCACACGAAAGCATACCAACAACCTAGATATGCAAGGCTCACAGCTTTCTGATATGCCGTCGTAAATCTAAGTGAGTGAGTGAGTGAATATGGTTTTACGCCGCTTTTAGCAATATTCCAGCAATATCACGGCGGGGGACACCAGAAATGGGCTTCACACATTGTACCCGTCCCATGTCTGGAATCGAACCCAGGTCTTCGGCGTGACGCTTTAACCACTAGGCTACCCACCCGCCACCGTACATCTAAGTACATGTCGCATATGGACAAAAACAGATGCAATATTTGGATCATGAAACTACTTGTAGAGCAGGATTGATACATTACCACGTTATAGAATTATACGAATGAATGCGCGAAGGTAATACATTAAACATGTTTATGTAATCCGCCAGTTAATAGCTACAGATATCATCCAGAAGGACAAAGCTACATACATACATGGATATACATACACGCATACACACCCAGAAACCTAAAAACACGGTACTTTTTTAAAAAAGATTTTTCTTTTTTTTTTTTTGGGGGGGGGGGGCTACTGTCCCAAGGTTTTGTTTGTTTGTTTGTTTTTAACGCAGTACTCAGCAATATTCCAGCTATATGACGGCGGTCTGTAAATAATCGAGTCTGGACCAGTCAATCCAGTGATTGATATCATGGACATCGATCCATGCAATTGGGATACGTTGACATGAATCAACCAAGTCAGCGAGCCTGACCACCCGATCCTGTTAGTCGCCTCTTACAAGTATAGTCGCCTTTTACGGCAAGCATGGGTTGCTGAAGACCTATTCTACCCCTGATCTTCACGGGTCCAGTCCTAATTGGAATCCAGACTGCAACGCTGTATTAATAGTCAATCTCAGATTCACCCAGATTAGGTTTTTTTTATCATTTTGTATGTATTTTGGTATTAGGTAATGAGGTATATAGAATACATCATGTTTATTATATACATAATATAATAATACATGATAATCGTGATAATAATGATGATGATAATAATAATAATGGTAATGGTGATAATACTGATAATGATGATAATTATCATGATAATTATGATAATGATGATATATGGTAATGATAAGATCGATAATAATCATAATGATCATACTGATAATGATAATTATGATAATGATGATATATGGTAATGATAATATCTATAATACTGATAATGATGATGATAATTATGACAATGATGATATATGGTAATGATAATAATGATAATGATCATAATGATAATGATAATGACAGCACCGTGCACGTCTTCGTGGGTTTCGCCAAAGTTGTAAATGTCTTCGACGTGCACCGCTTTAAGCTTTCTCCCCATCGCCACGTTGGTCTGGCACGCCATGACATAGCTGAAATACTGTTCAAAGGATAAAACATGACTTGAATTCGCACAGTGTAAAAAGGCTTTCATCACAGCGGTTGAGGTCACCATTGGAGAAGCATTTGTTTACATGTTTATGTAGTTACCAACATAACATCATCAGTACGCCGAACATTAGGTGTCGTAGCATGCCCCTGGTGTTTCAAAGGGAAGTTCACTGTCGTTATGTCCCGTCGCTCTCCGAAATATGCACGGCGAGAAACACCATAACCTGAATGACGACACACAGGTCACGGAGGCCTAGAGAAGCATGTCGACCTGTGTTTGAACACATATCAATAGGATCAAACAGGCTATATACAGTGTCCCTGTCAGTGTTTAATCCAATCGATGAAAAGCTAATTCAGCTATACACACAAAGGATTTGAAAACTAGCAAACAAACAACCCTGTTTTGGTCCCATGTACTCCCCAGACGTGTATGATACCTATACGTCCCCTCCCCTCCCTCCTCCCCAGACGTGTATGTCACCTGTACGTCCCCTCCCCTCCCTCCTCCCCCAGACATGTATGTCACCTGTACGTCCCCTCCCCTCCCTCCTCCCCCAGACATGTATGTCACCTGTACGTCCCCTCCCCTCCCTCCTCCCCCAGACGTGTATGCTACCTGTACGTCCCCTCCCGTCCCTCCTCCCCCAGACATGTATGTCACCTGTACGTCCCCTCACCTCCCTCCTCCCCCAGACATGTATGTCACCTGTACGTCCCCTCCCCTCCCTCCTCCCCCAGACGTGTATGCTACCTGTACGTCCCCTCCCCTCCCTCCTCCCCCAGACATGTATGTCACCTGTACGTCCCCTCACCTCCCTCCTCCCCCAGACATGTATGCTACCTGTTCGTCCCCTCCTCTCCCTCCTCCCCCAGACGTGTTTGTCACCTGTACGTCCTCTCTCCCGTCCCTCCTCCCCCAGACGTGTTTGTCACCTGTACGTCCCCTCCCCTCCCTCCTCCCCCAGACGTGTATGTCACCTGTACGTCCTCTCTCCCGTCCCTCCTCCCCCAGACGTGTTTGTCACCTGTACGTCCCCTCCCCTCCCTCCTCCCCCAGACGTGTATGTCACCTGTACGTCCCCTCCCCTCCCTCCTCCCCAGACGTGTCTGCTACCTGTATGTCCCCTCCCCTCCCTCCTCCCTAGACGTGTATGCTACCTGTACGTCCCCTCCCCTCCCCAGACGTGTCTGCTACCTGTATGTCCCCTCCCCTCCCTCCTCCCCAGACGTGTCTGCTACCTGTATGTCTCCTCCCCTCCCTCATCCCTAGACGTGTATGCTACCTGTACGTCCCCTCCCCTCCCCAGACGTGTATGCTACCTGTACGTTCCCCCCCCCCTCCCCCAGACATGTATGTCACCTGTACGTCCCCTCCCCTCCCTCCTCCCCCAGACATGTATGTCACCTGTACGTCCCCTCACCTCCCTCCTCCCCCAGACATGTATGTCACCTGTACGTCCCCTCCCCTCCCTCCTCCCCCAGACATGTATGTCACCTGTACGTCCCCTCCCCTCCCTCCTCCCCCAGACGTGTATGTCACCTGTACGTCCCCTCCCGTCCCTCCTCCCCCAGACGTGTTTGTCACCTGTACGTCCCCTCCCCTCCCTCCTCCCCCAGACGTGTATGCTACCTGTACGTCCCCTCCTCTCCCTCCTCCCCCAGACGTGTTTGTCACCTATACGTCCTCTCTCCCGTCCCTCCTCCCCCAGACGTGTTTGTCACCTGTACGTCCCCTCCCCTCCCTCCTCCCCCAGACGTGTATGTCACCTGTACGTCCCCTCCCCTCCCTCCTCCCCAGACGTGTCTGCTACCTGTATGTCCCCTCCCCTCCCTCCTCCCTAGACGTGTATGCTACCTGTACGTCCCCTCCCCTCCCCAGACGTGTATGCTACCTGTACGTTCCCCCCCCCCCCCCCTCCCCAGACGTGTTTGTCACCTGTGCGTCCCCTCCTCTCCCTCCTCCCAAGACGTGTATGTCACCTGTGCGTCCCCTCCCCTCCCTCCTCCCAAGACGGGTATGTCACCTGTGCGTCACCCCCCTCACTATTCTCACTCGTCTCGACACCACTAATCCCACCCGCATAGAAGTGTTGACGGATTGATGTCCCCGCTGGAATCAGCGTTACGCTGTGTCGTAATATACACGTTGTCACACCATTATTGCCGTCGTTGTATAACCAGAACGCAGTTAAAAACATTCAAAACTGATTCAACAATTGACGGTCGATTACTCCTGAGTATTGGATGTCGTGACTGCGACGAGTGGAGTAGGGCCATTATTTATTAATGTCAGTACAAGCGGGTAGTCCCTGGCACGCATGCAGCCTACCACAGGAAAAATCCTACCGTCCGCATCACACACTCGATAGATTTGTCCTTTCTACAGATAAGTTAACGTGAATTCATGTCATGGTTAGCCATACTCCAACGATTTTGTCAATGAGACACATTGACATCGGTGTCAGACCTTTGAGTACGATGACATATCCATACAAACAGGTTACGAATGCGACTCGGATATGACTCTGTTATGACTCGGTTATGACTCGGTTGAAACTCAGTTGAATCTCGGTTGAACTCGTTTGAAACTTTGCTGAAGCTCGGTTGAGACTGAATCATTGCTGTCAACCGATACGGTTGATTGTCCTTTTAATAACGTAACGTAGAACAGAGAAGAGTAGCATAGCCCAATGCTTTAGTGGGTCGCGCACGACAATCGGTTGCATATCTTCTCGATTTCTTATATTGATCTTGACAGTAACGTAACGAAGTTGACATTCCCATGCTGACTACGCCAGTCTGTGTAAAGCAATCAGTATTATCAGGTATTCGGTTATTAAGCGCAGCTTTAGCTGCGTGTCTCTCTCCGACGTGAATAGGCCAGCTTAGCTGTTATAATGAGTCAAATGACAGCCGGGGCGCGATTCAACAGGAGGGCCACGGGGACTAACAACGAGTAAATACCTGTGATTTATAATCCTTCGTGGAGGTAGTGTGTTGAATATGCCGGTTGTATCACCCGCAGCTATTACAGTCGTCAATCTTGGCAACAAGCGGACGCACTGTTCCATCGACCTACCAACCTGTGCCGTACCATTCCCTAGTGTCCCCCGTGCCGGTAGCTTGGCATAGGGACGCGTTAACGGGCGTTATAATGCACGTGTAACGCGATCGTCTTCAAGTAGGGTGTCTCGGGGCCACCATGACAGCAGGCTAGTGCGAGCAGGTTACGTGTGTACTCACGCTGTCTCTGAGGGTCTTCCTGTCATTGAGATAGATAGTTAGCGAAGCTTACAATGACATTAGTTAAATGTTCCGCGGGCACGTCGGTCGCTAATCACGTGTGTCTTGAATCCTTGCAGCGACTTCGCACCCCGGATCACTTACCAATGGATCACAACGCAGACCAAGCCCGGCATCAGGCACAGCAGCAACGACATCGGCTTCACGCCACCGTCTACGATGTTCGCAAGGCTTCCATGGACAGTGAGAATCTTCGGCAGTACAGCAGACGGAGGTTTGAGTTCTCAATCAAGAACCTTTCCAACTCCGACACATCTGTCAACATTTTCAGAATCAATGACGTGCCACGCCCAAACACCACCCCACACATTCCCACCCAGACCAACTCCAGTTCTCTGAGGACAGGTCCTACCCAATATGGTAGCGTGTTGTATAACAGGAAGCCCATGATGCTCAGTTCCATCCGGGTTCGACCCCAGTCAGAAGCCGGGAAGTACTCTCACACAAGAGGAAGGACCAACCCTGGCATTGAGCGGGCCCTGCACCAAAGTAACAGTGACTTCTTCGTGAGAACCACGCCAGTTTCTCGCGGTCAGACGCCACGACCTCAGTGCAAGATTTCCCGACAGCCCGGCTCGGATTTCTTTCTGATACCCAATGGCGGCATCACTGAGCCACGTGTTAGAGATTTTCTTCCAGACTATGGTAATGAGATGCTTCATCACGAACACACCCTGGATGGTAGCACGTGCACACGGGTCTCTTCTCGACCGGAGATGTGTTTCATGAGGACTGGGTCAGCGCGGAGAGATGGCTACATGACAGACAACGCTTCCGACACATCCAGCGGATCACGACATCGTCAACACAGATCGGCTTCACTGACAAGCGCCCGTCCAACACCATGGTAAGTCAATTCATCATATTAAAGTTTAGGATCAGAAAACTTTAAAATAAGTTTGCATGTCATATTTCTTAATATTAAGGCGACCCAATGGAAATTGACAGAGGTTGCAGAGTTGCGTCCAATTACTGGAGGTTCTGCAGATCATGAGTTCGAATCCTCGATTACGAACCTTGGATTTCCCCGTGTACTGTCTGTGTTACTGAGGTCCCTTTTCTCATTGTAAGCTGACTCACCGTGATATTACCGAAATATTGTTCATATCGGCGTTTAGTCTCTAACCCCATAATTGTCAGAATTTATGAAAACTCGATACGTGTATTAGTTATAAACAAACTTTGGTGTACGTGTGTGATGAATGTCTGAAATATGGACAAAATCAGTTAAAACCGTTCTTTGGTATTAATCTTACCAAAGAAACGACAGCAAGATGATTATTTTGAAACCCATGCCAAATTATATAAAAATGATATTATCACTATTGATACTACATATATGTACTATCTAGCCATGTCAGCTTCTCAGTTTGCCCTTATGCCACCTTAGAGACGCCCTTACACTCCGTTTTGTCAGTTGTAGAGGAACCTCTATGTCCCTTGATACAGTAGAGACCTTCCCAACAGTTAACGTCCGGACCATGTGCTTACTTGTCTTATATGTGTCTATTGTGGTGGGGAAGTCTTCATAGATATGACAATGATACTCCAGGGTTAAGATTGGTAAATCTGGACATGTATTTCACTGTGCTGCCCCTTCCAGCTCGACGGAGTTTGACAATATGCTGTATCTACTCAATAGGGACTTTGTGTAGAGTGGACACAGAACAGCCCCCACAATCACCTCTCAGGGGAACATCAAACTCTATGTAGGCAAGGCATTGTCCCGCCTAAGACACTCTAGGTACCCACTTATACACCATTGTACACAATAACCCACGCAGCTTGAACAGAATAAGCAATTGGATCTATTATCATGCATCTGTTAACTGATAAAAGGCAGAATAAATGATTTCGGCACAGAACAAAAGATTTGAACATTTGCCAAGACGATACGATAAGCTCTTTATTCAAATCGGAATATGATATCCTAATAGTAGTTATAAATACCCTACTACCCTTAACGTGTATGCCTGTACATTCGACATAGGAACAGCTCTTTCGTACAAATAAGTACCGTGGTCTTAGCAACATCGGTGAAACCTATTTCAAAACTGTAAAATTCCGAATAAATGGAGTAGCTCTGCACCCCCCCCCCCCCCCCCCCCCCCCACACACACACACACACACACACAAAAAGAATAAATAAATAATATGAAAATCAATCAATCAATCAATCAATCAATCAATCAATCAATCAATCAATCAATCAATCAATCAAAAAAAAACAAAAGCAAAGAAAACAAAAACAACAGAAAAAAACAACAACCCCCTCCCCCCCAAAAAAAACCCAACAAAAACAAACAACAAACAAACAAAAACCAAAACAAAAGAAAAAAAGAAAGAAAAAAAAAGGCACCCAACCCTTTGGCCCCGCCCATGACCCCTTTCCCCACCCCCTCCCTGACCTCAGGCTTGTTCATTCAGAAAGTTCGTATTCACAAATAGCTATTTGTACAAATAACTTTTTGACGGTTGTGATATCCCCTACAGCAAAGTGTTGATACAAACACGTTCATGCAATTTGGTTGCATTCTTCCCACTGGAACCGCCTGTACGTGGATGTCTGGATTGGATAAACGATGATTATTGCTCAACCTAATTCTATTTAAGATCATATTACCGTGGGGCTTAAGCACAGCGGGATAATTAGCAGTAATGCAACTTTTGGATGTGTAGCAGGTAACTGCTATATACTTAAAGCTGGGATTACTCTGAACCGATTAGTGTGGGGTAATCTGTTAGTGCGCTCTAATCTGATTATTGTATGCCAGGCTGGCGAGCGGACAATGTTCAACTTAGAGGGGATTACAACTGCGTGTCAAAGCGCGTCGGTAACGTCAGATCTTGTTTTGTTGCAAGTGGTTTCGAATTAAAATCATATTTTTTAAGTTGCATTGTGTTTTTCACACAGGTAGCTATTTTCAGTAGGTTTCCACACAGGTAGCTGATGTCGGGAGGTTTCCACACAGGTAGCTGTTGTCAGTAGGTTTCCGGACAGGTTGCTGTTGTCAGTAGGTTTCCACACAGGTAGCTGTTGTCAGTAGCTTTCCGCACAGGTAGCTGTTGTCAGTAGGTTTCCACACAGGTAGCTGTTGTCAGTAGGTTTCCGGAGAGGTAGCTGTTGTCGGGAGGTTTCCCCACAGGTAGCTGTTTGTCAGTAGGTTTCCACACAGGTAGCTGTTGTCAGTAGGTTTCCGGAGAGGTAGCTGTTTGTCAGTAGGTTTCCGCAGAGGTAGCTGTTGTCAGTAGGTTTCCACACAGGTAGCTGTTGTCAGTAGGTTTCGAAACAGGTAGCTGTTGTCAGTAGGTTTCTGCACAGGTAGCTGTTGTCAGTAGGTTTCCGCACAGGTAGATTTTGTCAGTCGGTTTCCGCACAGGTAGCTCTTGTCAGTAGGTTTCCACACAGGGAGCTGTTGTCAGTAGGTTTCCGCACAGGTAGCTGTTGTCAGTAGGTTTCCACACAGGTAGCTGTTGTCAGTAGGTTTCCACGCATGTAGCTGTTATCAGTAGGTTTCCCAAAAGGTAGCTGTTGTCAGTAGGTTTCCACACAGGTAGCTGTTGTCAGTAGATCTCCGCACAGGGAGCTGTTGTCAGTAGGTTTCCCAACAGGTAGCTGTTGTCAGTAGGTTTCCGCACAGGTAGCTGTTGTCAGTAGGTTTCCACACAGGTAGCTGTTGTCAGTAGGTTTCCACACAGGTTGCTGTTGTCAGCAGGTTTCCACACAGGTAGCTGTTGTCAGTAGGTTTCCACGCATGTAGCTGTTGTCAGCAGGTTTCCACACAGGTTGCTGTTGTCAGCAGGTTTCCACACAGGTAGCTGTTGTCAGCAGGTTTCCACACAGGTTGCTGTTGTCAGCAGGTTTCCACACAGGTAGCTGTTGTCAGTAGGTTTCCACACAGGTAGCTGTTGTCAGTAGGTTTCCGCACAGGTAGCTGTTGTCAGTAGGTTTCCACACAGGTAGCTCTTGTCAGTAGGTTTCCGCACAGGTAGCTGTTGTCAGTAGGTTTCCGCACAGGTAGCTGTTGTCAGCAGGTTTCCGCACAGGTAGCTGTTGTCAGTAGGTTTCCGCACAGGTAGCTGTTGTCAGTAGGTTTCCACACAGGTAGCTGTTGTCAGTAGGTTTCCACACAGGTTGCTGTTGTCAGCAGGTTTCCACACAGGTAGCTGTTATCAGTAGGTTTCCCAAAAGGTAGCTGTTGTCAGTAGGTTTCCACACAGATAGCTCTTGTCAGTAGATCTCCGCACAGGGAGCTGCTGTCAGTAGGTTTCCCAACAGGTAGCTGTTGTCAGTAGGTTTCCGCACAGGTAGCTGTTGTCAGTAGGTTTCCACACAGGTAGCTGTTGTCAGTAGGTTTCCGGAGAGGTTGCTGTTGTCAGTAGGTTTCCACACAGGTAGCTGTTGTCAGTAGGTTTCCACACAGGTAGCTGTTGTCAGTAGGTTTCCGGACAGGTAGCTCTTGTCAGTAGGTTTCCGCAGAGGTAGCTCTTGTCAGTAGGTTTCCGCACAGGTAGCTGTTGTCAGTAGGTTTCCACACAGGTAGCTGTTGTCAGTAGGTTTCCGGACAGGTAGCTCTTGTCAGTAGGTTTCCGCACAGGTAACTGCTGTCAGTAGGTTTCCACACAGGTAGCTGTTGTCAGTAGGTTTCCACACAGGTAGCTTTGTCAGTAGGTTTCCGGACAGGTAGCTCTTGTCAGTAGGTTTCCGCACAGGTAACTGCTGTCAGTAGGTTTCCACACAGGTAGCTGTTGTCAGTAGGTTTCCGCACAGGTAGCTGTTGTCAGTAGATCGCCGCACAGGTAGCTGTTGTCAGTAGGTTTCCACATAGGTAACTGCTGTCAGTAGGTTTCCGGACAGGTAGCTGTTGTCAGTAGGTTTTCACATAGGTAACTGCTGTCAGTAGGTTTCCCAACAGGTAGCTGTTGTCAGTAGGTTTCCGGACAGGTAGCTGTTGTCAGTAGGTTTCCACACAGGTAGCTGTTGACAGTGGGTTTCCGGACAGGTAGCTCTTGTCAGTAGGTTTCCGGACAGGTAACTGCTGTCAGTAGGTTTACACACAGGTAGCTGTTGTCAGTAGGTTTCCACACAGGTAGCTGTTGTCAGTAGGTTTCCGGACAGGTAGCTCTTGTCAGTAGGTTTCCGCAGAGGTAGCTCTTGTCAGTAGGTTTCCGCACAGGTAGCTGTTGTCAGTAGGTTTCCACACAGGTAGCTGTTGTCAGTAGGTTTCCGGACAGGTAGCTCTTGTCAGTAGGTTTCCGCACAGGTAACTGCTGTCAGTAGGTTTCCACACAGGTAGCTGTTGTCAGTAGGTTTCCACACAGGTAGCTGTTGTCAGTAGGTTTCCGGACAGGTAGCTCTTGTCAGTAGGTTTCCGCACAGGTAACTGCTGTCAGTAGGTTTCCACACAGGTAGCTGTTGTCAGTAGGTTTCCGCACAGGTAGCTGTTGTCAGTAGATCGCCGCACAGGTAGCTGTTGTCAGTAGGTTTCCACATAGGTAACTGCTGTCAGTAGGTTTCCGGACAGGTAGCTGTTGTCAGTAGGTTTTCACATAGGTAACTGCTGTCAGTAGGTTTCCCAACAGGTAGCTGTTGTCAGTAGGTTTCCGGACAGGTAGCTGTTGTCAGTAGGTTTCCACACAGGTAGCTGTTGACAGTGGGTTTCCGGACAGGTAGCTCTTGTCAGTAGGTTTCCGCACAGGTAACTGCTGTCAGTAGGTTTCCACACAGGTAGCTGTTGTCAGTAGGTTTCCGCACAGGTAGCTGTTGTCAGTAGATCGCCGCACAGGTAGCTGTTGTCAGTAGGTTTCCACATAGGTAACTGCTGTCAGTAGGTTTCCGGACAGGTAGCTGTTGTCAGTAGGTTTTCACATAGGTAACTGCTGTCAGTAGGTTTCCCAACAGGTAGCTGTTGTCAGTAGGTTTCCGGACAGGTAGCTGTTGTCAGTAGGTTTCCACACAGGTAGCTGTTGACAGTGGGTTTCCGGACAGGTAGCTCTTGTCAGTAGGTTTCCGGACAGGTAACTGCTGTCAGTAGGTTTCCACACAGGTAGCTGTTGTCAGTAGGTTTCCGGACAGGTAGCTCTTGTCAGTAGGTTTCCGCAGAGGTAGCTGTTGTCAGTAGGTTTCCACATAGGTAACTGCTGTCAGTAGGTTTACACACAGGTAGCTGTTGACAGTGGGTTTCCACACAGGTAGCTGTTGTCAGTAGGTTTCCGCAGAGGTAGCTGTTGACAGTGGGTTTCCACACAGATAGCTGTTGTCAGTAGGTTTCCGCAGAGGTAGCTGTTGACAGTGGGTTTCCACACAGATAGCTCTTGTCAGTAGGTTTCCGCAGAGGTAGTTGTTGTCAGTAGGTTTCCACATAGGTAACTGCTGTCAGTAAGTTTCCACACAGGTAGCTGTTGACAGTGGGTTTCCGCATATGCACTTTTTGTTAATGTGATTACTGACACACAGATGGCTTACACTGAATTGTTTGCCACACCTGTTGTCAAGAGTTTCAGTTTATTTTCGTATTGTCAGTAGGCCTCCAACACGTATTCTTCAGTTGGCCGAATTAACGTAGGACTGCTTCTTAGAGATTACGATATGTTTCTCGGATACTATTCCGGCAAAACACACCAGAAAATAAAAAAGCTTGTTGTTGTTTGAAATACATGAAAGCGGGGATATTAATCTATCAGTGATGCCAAACAAATTCTCTAAAAAATATCAATATGATCGACATATTGTCTAGAAGAAAAAACCTCACCGGTCTGACAGAAAGTTTGCCCATAGTCTTGTGTTTGGTATTGTCTGTGTTTGTTTGTGTTTGGTATTGTCTGTGTTTGTTTGTGTTTGGTATTGTCTGTGTTTGTTTGTGTTTGGTATTGTTTGTGTTTGGTATTGTTTGTTGTGTAAGATCCGGCTAGAATTTGGTTTCAGCAACCACTGCTTGTGGTAAGATTCGACTAATAGGATCTGGAGATCAGACTAGATGATCAGGTTGCGTAGATCGGTGCTCATGATGTCAGTCACTGGATTGCCTGGGCTAGACACGATTGGTTACAGACAGACGTTATGTAGCTGGAACATTGCTGAGTGTGGCGTTAGGACAAACAAATAAAAATTTCTTAGGATCTTGACTGTAAACCAAACTGTGTGACCGCGAAGTAAGACGAGGTGTATCGATCCCCTCTGATATATTGAGTGTCTTCCCTCGATCGATGCCCGCTATGTGTGTAAGGGGGTTTGAGGTTTTATGTGGCAAAGTCCGAGGCTTTCATGTGACACCGGAACTGTTGGAGTGCTGCGTATTTGCAAAAGAGGATCATTGCTACTCACAGAATTTAAGTCAATTATTATTAATATTACATTATACGTTAATGTTTCGTCAGTCCACCCCCCCCCCCCCCCCCCCCTCCCCAACCCCCACCCACCATACCCCACCCCACACACAACAAAGAATGTTTATGAGCTCCACCTGGTAACCAGCCACATATGATATCTCCCTTGAGCGCCGAGTGCTGCCACAAATCATAAGTCTGTGTTAAGGCTAGGCAAACAAGTCAACACTATAATGGGTTATATCGTGTCCATTATCATTAATGTGGATGTGTAATACGACCCGGAATCCTGGTTACCTGGTGGGTTGTGTTCGAGTACCTCTGTGATCAACTTGTGTCAATAATGTCAGTCCAATGTTCATTGATATGTGATCAACTTGTGTCAGTGGAAAATACACATTGTTATCAGTGACCTGTGATCAACGTAATCAGTTGATCAACATATTAGCTGTTTGTGATCCGTGCGTTAACCTATGTAAGTTACATACACAAACTTTCAGTGATCTGTGAACTGTGTACCTTTGCCTGTTAGTGATCTGGGTGCTGCCAGTACCCGTTTAATCAACTCATATCAGTAAAACGTGCACCAAAGTGAGTGAGTAATGTTTTACGCCGATGTAGCAATATTACAGCAATATCACGGCGGGGGACACCAGAAATGAGCTTCACACATTGTACTCATGTAGAGAATCGAACCCGGGTCTTCGGCGTGACGAGCGAACACTTTAACCACTAGGCTACTCCACCGCCCCTGTGCACCAAAGATGTCAGTATGTTATTAATATATGCCTTAATAATGAACAACATCAGTCCATACCATGTACCGATCTATAGGACGAGTCAAACATAGTTGACGGAATATAGGACGATTGATCAATGCCAAGAATATTCTGATTAAAGTGTTTTGATGTGGGAATCGAACCAGAGTGACGACTACCTCCATCGCCTTTTCTATTATATATGTACGTGACGTCTTACTTGTTTCTACAATTTGTTTTCCGTATCAATGATGTTAAAGGCCCTTTTGCATCAGTGACAAAAATGATGTCCGATGCAATTCCCTATTTTGACTTGTACCATATGTTCCATGTTTATTCAGGTGTACGATTGACTTGCCTTTACATGTGTTTGTGACGGGTGCCACCGATGGGGCAGGTTACGCTCACCTTTTCGCGAACACCTGGTATCATTACCATTTGATAATGATTCACAAACACATGCTCATGATATAGTCGGAAACGTACAATCGAATCTGCTTTGTGCAGGGATTTCTGTTGGATATGGAAAGGGCTTTGCAATTTCCTTAAATGGTGTGTATGCTTTTATAATAATTTCCCAAATATCTCTGCTTCCATTGCAGCTGCTGGGCAACGTCCAATACAGCACACACCGCAGATGTAGCACGACAAGTTGATTCAAGCCACCGGGTTAACATCACCAGACATGGAACACCCTTGACGTGTAAATGGAGGACCGGAAGTGACTGTTCTTCGTCAGGGTCACTGTCTTTAGATGACTCCTCGATGTCAGAACGACCGAAGTGTTGGGTGGATGATGTCACAATATCAAGCGATGCATCTCAACACTCGCAGGAAGACACTGAGCCTTTTCCTGCAACAGATAACAAGCCAAATACGCAAAAACTCCCTGCCAACCCAACAGAAGCTACTAAAGCCAGTCCCCAGAAGGCTCTGACTTCTCCACCCGAAGGTTCAAAACTTAACCCACAAAAGACATCTCCTAACTTCATTGAGGGTATGAAGAACACACAGAAGACGACTTCTAACCTTGTTGATGGATCCAAACTATTACGAACTGGTTCTGGGTTTATGACGGTGAATGAGAAAGTAGGTTCTGATACCCTGAACCAAGGACCAGGTGAGGGGGAGGGGGATGCTGAGGACGCAGATGAAGACATCAACGACTTGAAGGACATTCCTGAAAATGTGTTTCCTGCTTTTCTGTGTCCGAGCAGTGAAAAGAAATCCAGGCAAACAGCACTCAAATACTGGCTCGCCAACACCTGCTTCTCGTGTGCTGATAGACGTGTACCGCTAGTGTGAACCCTAGGTGATGCTCCGTTATCATGGGAGGCGGTCGGGGAGCCCAGTGGTTAAAGTGTTTGCTCGTAACGCCGAAGGCCCGGGTTCGATTCTCCACATGGGTACAATTTGTGAAGCCCATTTCTGATGTCCCCCGCCGTAATCGTGAAGAGCGTAAAACCATACTCACTCACTCCTTCTTCATCTTGGATCATGACACACATCATAACAAGGTGGAACGTTATGTAATAGCTGTTGAAATATTTGACCTGCGACATATATTAGTGAGGTTAGGTGATGGTAAGTAGGAGGTGAAGTGTTACTGAGGATAAGGAGTAGGGGGTGAAGCGCTTCTGATGATAGGGAGTAGGGGTGAAGTGTTACTGAGGATAGGGATCAGGGAGTGCAGCGCTTCTGATGATAGGGAGTAGGGAGTGAAGCGCTTCTGATGATAGGGAGTAAGGGTGAAGTGTTACTGAGGATAGGGAGTAGGGAGTGAAGCGCTTCTGATGATAGGGAGTAGGGGGGAAGTGTTTCTGATGATAGGGAGTAGGGGTGAAGTGTTACTGAGGATAGGGAGCAGGGAGTGAAGCGCTTCTGATGATAGGGAGTAGGGGGGAAGTGTTTCTGATGATAGGGAGTAGGGGTGAAGTGTTACTGAGGATAGGGAGCAGGGAGTGAAGCGCTTCTGGTGATATGGAGTAGAGAGTGAAGCGCTTCTGATGACAGAGAGTAGGGGTGAAGTGTTACTGAGGATAGGGAGCAGGGAGTGAAGCGCTTCTGATGATAGGGAGTAGGGGGGAAGTGTTTCTGATGATAGGGAGTAGGGGTGAAGTGTTACTGAGGATAGGGAGCAGGGAGTGAAGCGCTTCTGATGATAGGGAGTAGGGAGGAAGTGTTTCTGATGAGAGGGAGTAGGGGTGAAGTGTTACTGAGGATAGGGAGCAGGGAGTGAAGCGCTTCTGGTGATAGGGAGTAGGGGGGAAGTGTTACTGAGGATAGGGAGCAGGGAGTGAAGCGCTTCTGATGATAGGGAGTAGAGAGTGAAGCGCTTCTGATGACAGAGAGTAGGGGTGAAGTATTACTGAGGATAGGGAGCAGGGAGTGAAGTGCTTCTGATGATAGGGAGTAGGGAGTGAAGCGCTTCTGATGATAGGGAGTAGGGAGTGAAGCGCTTCTGGCGATAGGGAGTAGGGGTGAAGTGTTACTGATGATAGGGAGTAGGGAGTGAAGCGCTTTTGATGATAGGGAGTAGGGATAAAGTGTTACTGAGGATAGGGAGTAGGGAGTGAAGCGCTTCTGATGATAGGGAGTAGGGAGTGAAGCGCTTCTGATGATAGGGATTTGTGAGTGAGGTGTGTTTGAAGGTAGGGAGCAGGGGGGAAGTGTTTCTCAGAATACGGAGCAGGGAGTGAAGCGTTTCTGATGATAGGGAGTAGGGGGGAAGTGTTACTGATGATAGGAAGTAGGAAGTGAAGCGCTTCTGATGATAGGGAGTAGGGGGGAAGTGTTTCTGATGATAGGGAGTAGGGGTGAAGTGTTCCTGAGGATAGGGAGTAGGGAGTGAAGTGCTTCTGATAAAAAGGGAGTAGGGGGGAAGTGTTACTGAGGATAGGGAGTAGGGAGTGAAGCGCATCTGATGATAGGGAGTAGGGGTGAAATGTTTCTGATGATAGGGATTTGTGAGTGAGGTGTGTTTGAAGATAGGGAGTAGGGGTGAAGTGTTACTGAGGATAGGGAGTAGGCAGTGAAGCGCTTCTGATGATAGGGAGTAGGGGTAAAGTGTTACTGATGATAGGGAGTAGGGGTGAAGTGTTTCTGAGAATACGGAGTAGGGAGTGAAGCGCTTCTGATTATAGGGAGTAGGGGTAAAGTGTTACTGATGATAGGGAGTAGGGGTGAAGTGTTTCTGAGAATACGGAGTAGGCAGTGAAGCGCTCCTGATTATAGGGAGTAGGGGTAAAGTGTTACTGATGATAGGGAGTAGGGGTGAAGTGTTACTGATGATAGGGATTAGGGGTAAAGTGTTACTGATGATAGGGAGTAGGGGTAAAGTGTCACTGATGATAGGGAGTAGGGGTGAAGTGTTACTGATGATAGGGAGTAGGGGTAAAGTGTTACTGATGATAGGGAGTAGGGGTGAAGTGTTACTGATGATAGGGAGTAGGGAGTGAAGCGCTTCTGATGATAGGGAGTAGGGGTAAAGTGTTACTGATGATAGGGAGTAGGGGTAAAGTGTTACTGATGATAGGGAGTAGGGGTGAAGTGTTTCTGAGAATATGGAGTAGGCAGTGAAGCGCTCCTGATTATAGGGAGTAGGGGTAAAGTGTTACTGATGATAGGGAGTAGGGGTAAAGTGTTTCTGAGAATACGGAGTAGGGAGTGAAGCGCTTCTGAGGATAGGGAGTAGGGAGTGATGCGCTTCTGATGATAGGGATTTGTGACTGAGGTGTGTCTGAAGATAGGGAGTAGGGGTGAAGTTTTTCTGAGAATATGGAGTAGGGAGTGAAGCGCTTCTGATGATAGAGATTCGGGAGTGAAGTGTTTCTGAGGGTAGGGAGTTTGGGACGATGTGGTGGGAGGGGACGGGTGTATGTTGGGGTATATTTCTGATGAAAGGAGAGTTCGGCAAGTCAACCCAGCCAAGATGTGTTATCATCCAGTAAGGTTGCATGAATATATTATTAGTTTTCTTACACACGTTCAGATACATACAACAGGATCGATACTATAGTGTACTGTTTGCTGGTTTGCATTGCGTGTTGACGGCCAGGGTCGACCTTCTCGAACCTATTAATCATTCATTGTCATTCTATACGGTTCTGTGAATGCAAGACAATCCATCGTTAATAAATATTTATTGCATAACGATTTTGCTTGTCTGACAAATGATGTGCACAACCGCTGGAATGTGTATAAAAACTAAGGGTGCTTCAACTGAATGAACCACCATATCAATGTTGTTTGAAGCAAGAGAGTCGTCCTTGCCTCACTGAACCTCATGTTATATTCAGATGGTGAGTAAGTGAGTTGGGTTTAACGGCGCTTCTAACAGTATTCCAGTTATATCGCGGCGTGTCAGCTTAATGTGGGAGGTAAGCCCGAAGTGATGCAGATCTCAGACGTTTACCACTTCGGTAAAACCCACGAGCACGGGTATGGTGCTGACAAACCTAGAAACATAATCGGGGCGAACCGGGATTAGAACCCACAATCATAGGTTTCTGGCCTGCCCAAGGGACGCAACTCTGCACAGCGAATCGCGGCGCCTTAGACGACTGGGCCACCCGTGCCCCCTTCAGATGGAGACACTGATGGAGAAGGTGTTTCGATGGTGATGTATTTGATACGGTTCATGGTTTTGTTTTGGACCGTATGTTTGCAGTGTCTCGGCGGCTGTTTCCATCCTGGTAACGTTTTGATAAACTTTGTAATGTTTTGGTCACATCCAGCTGTCAAGTGTATGCTTTCGTTTGCCTAGGGGTTCATTTGATACTTATTGCGAGCATAGCCTCACAAATCATTTGCAGCATTACAGTTTCGGATTCAAATCTTAAAACTATCTGAAAGCTGACGACCACCACATGTATTTCCCCAAGTCATATGTTTTAAACATGCCGAGAAAATGAAAGTACACGCTCATACTTGATAGCGGCTGAAACAGACAAAATGGTGTTTCGATGGTGATGTATTTGATACGGTTCATGGTTCTGTTTTGGACCGTACGTTTGCAGTGTCTAGGCAACTGTTTTCAGTTTAGTAACGTTTTGATAACTTTGTAATGTTTTGATCACATCCAGCCATCAAGTGTATTCTTTTGCTTTCTTTTGCCCAGGGGTTTATTTGATAATTTTGCGAGCATAGCCTCACAAAGCATTTGCAGGATGACAGTTTCGGATTCAAATCTTGAGTGTGCACTCTTTCTGCATTACTGTGAACGTAAGATTGTATCTACAGGCCGTGTCACACACATAGACCCGTGTAAGAAACTGAAGGTATCGTTAGTCGTGACTGCCAAAAAGCATACAATTATGCACATTCTGGATAGGTTTGTCTTCCAGTAAGATTTGACTTGACATTACAGGGCCATAAGCTATATTGGAAAACATACGTTATGGATAACAACTTCTGGTTTACAGCATCTACTTGTTATCCATAAAGTGTGTTTTCCTATTTACTCCTTGACCATGTTGACTCTAGAATGCCAATCAAACAGTCATCATTGGACATCTTGACCAACAGCTTGACTCGTTGGTTGTTCAAAATAATCAATGTTTCTGTGTGGTATTGTGGAGTGTATTCTATCATTTTTACAAGGCTAATACATAGTCTAGTATTCTATCGAGGTTGCATGATTTCGTATCAGGCCCGTTGGTTCTAAAATAGTTCAAGGCCTCAGTGAATCTTTTCAAAACGTTTTATAGTGACAAGAATGATGTCTGTTCCCGTGTGTTTTTTCAGGTAAACAATTGACCTGCCTTTGCATGTGTTAGTGACGGGTGCCACCGGTGAGGGAGGATACGCTCACCTTTTCTCGAACACATGATGTCAGCACTATTTGATAGTGATTCATAAACACTTGCGCATGATATGGTCGAATTGTACAATCGTTCTGCTTTTGGCAGAAGTTTAAAAAAGGGAAAGAGGTTTGTCGCTTCTATTTATATAACAAGAAAGTGCCTCGTATTCATTAAATGCCCGATGAGTTTCTAAGGTGGTAGAAAAACAAAGCGGTCCTTTCTGACAGAGCTGCAAGCCTCGTCTGGTTAATGCACTTATTCGAGGGAGTGAGGTAAAAGGGGTTTTAACATTGTGTTCAAGATTAGTGCACTTATATAGCGATGTGCATGCATGCTGATTTAGAAATCTAATGACAAGCTATACAACCATATAGGCCTGTAAACCGGTGACTGATGGATCCATCCAGCACGGCACAAGAATTCGATAGTATTACAGAATTTGTGGAGGACTACACTCAAACTCGGGGGCACATGTGGTCAGAAAAAGACAAGGGAAGTAACTGTGTCTGTACGTATGCAGTTTTTCTAAAGATTGAATTAACGTTTTGTTACGAGTTGGGTGCAAAAAAACCTTTAAATGGTCCAATATCGCCCTAAATTCTACTTCTACTATTATTACTACTACCGCTACTACTACTACTACTGCTGCTGCTACTTCTACTACAATTACTATTACTACTACTACAATATAGAAACAAAAAGTTGCATAAATTGAATCTTTATTCATAACTTTGTGCAATGAGTTAAGCACCTTGTAAGTGTGTGTACAATTGCAAAGAGCATGGAAAGAATAACAAATAAGAGTTGATAGATAAAACAAGCAAAAACTAAAAACGTAACAAACAAAACCAGTTGAACAGAAAACATGTTTACAGGGCGTTAGCTTAAAAAGAAGCACAACTACACATGTGTATTTATGTAACCAGCACTCTGAATGTCTCCTCGTGAATTCATCCATGTACTGTACATGCATAACCTGTAGATAACACTTCAGAAGGCATATATACGTGTAGGATAAATGTATGTGAGTTTGATGAGGATAAGGTTTCTAAATCCAATGGAGGAAGTATTATATTTCACCTCCGAACCGAAAATCTGAAACAACATTTATCAACAACTTTATGTAACAAATAACTCTCCACGGACGTTAAATATCTCTTCACGTCTTCCCTGAAAACGAGGTTCTTAAAAGGCATTGTGGTTTATCAGATTCGAAGGTTTCAAGTTCAATCCACGAATGCAGTTATCATTTGGTGTTAAACCATTCTGCACATTTCCTTGTCTACACTGTGTTCCAATGCAAAGTAAATCTCTAGTGAGGGACATTCACATGTTACAAAATCACCAGAAGTTCTAAATACATAATCGCTGGGATATTATATAAAGTCCCATTAAAACATTCTCGTTTGTGAGACTTAACCCGATTGGAGAACAATTGGATGATGTCACAGGAGGTTCACAACAAAAGATAACTTAGCATAGTCATCATAATAAACAAACAATGTATATAAACGATCACGGCCCAGTTCAGGTATTTTCAGAAACTAAACTTTACGTATACCAGATCGCCAATAGATCTAAGTAAGTTTAGTCTCAGATAACCTACAGTTTGACATAGCCAAGGCGTACAACTACAGCGCAAAAGCCCCAATTAAGACTTAATTGGTATGATTGGAGAATGATTATTTCTCCCTGCTCAGCCTCATTATGTGAATGGATAAGATGAATGGAGCAACTTTGAGATTATGTCTTGTTTATAAAAAGTAGGAAGTCAGACAAAGGCCCTAATTTCCCCACTGGAAATGACAAATTTTAAAATAAATATTTTTTATTTTTTTAAAAGCTGTGGGAAATGTTTTTAAGATTTGGACGTACACTAGATCCAGTCCAGAAGCTTGACCGCCTTTTCATCACCAAAAAGAAGATTCATACATATACCACTTCATTCATTTGCAGTGTAACTGAACTCTATCAACTATAGATACATGATATATGATGGATGTACAACTCTCTACTCCAATACCACTGAAATATCCATGCATACAATGTATCTTGCCTCATCGCCTGAATATTCATGCATGTCTTCTCACAACTCCTTGATGTTCATGCATATCTTCCCATATCGTCTGAATGTCAGTACAGATCTTCCCACATCAACTGAATATCATTTTATAGCTTACCATATCTCCTGAATATTCATGCATATCTTCCCATATTGCATAGATATTCCAGCATATATTTCCAGATCAACTGAATATTTATGCATATTTCCCCACATTAAGTGAATACCCAAGCATCAAAATGCATATGTTCACTTCTCAAATAATTGGTATAATATATTTGAATGTAAGAAGTGGGCTGACACATTTCTAAAAAAACTTGGTGTCAAACCAGGGAATATGTATAATACCTGAAAATTTTAGTGATTATGTATACTCCCTGCGAGAATGAAATATTACATATATTCAAAAAATTCCTTGATTTGACATATTCCCTGTAACATAGATATTCAAAGGGTGGCCTTTATATCACATGTTATGTGTAAACTACAAGGGTGACCTACTATTTCATGTTGTGTGTAAACTGCAAGGGTGGCCTTAAGCTTCTATCCCATGTTGTATATCAACCACAAGGGTGGCCTTCTATTTCATGTTGTGCGTAAACTACAAAGCGGCCTTAAGCTTCTATCCCATGTTGTATATAAACCACAAGGATGGCCTTCTATTTCATGTTGTGTGTAAACTACAAAGGCGGCCTTAAGCTTCTATCTTATGTTGTATAAAAACTGCAAAGGTGGCCTTCTATTTCATGCTGTGCGTAAACTACAAAGGCGGCCTTAAGCTTCTATCCCATGTTGTATATCAACCACAAGGGTGGCCTTCTATTTCATGTTGTGTGTAAACTACAAAGGCGGCCTTAAGCTTCTATCCCATGTTCTGTATAAACTACAAGGGTGGCCTTCTATTTCATGTTATGTCTTAACTGCAAGGGCTGCCTTAAGCTTCTATCCCGTGTTGTTTGTAAACCACAAGGGTGGCCTTCTATTTCATGTTGTGTATTTTATACCATTAGTGTGCATACAAAGTTTTTATACACAATGTTATGTATACAAGGATGGCCTCATAAGGTTTAATGAATCATAAGGTGTAAACACGATAATTTTAGAATATAGGCACGCGACAGTCATGTTTATGGTGAAACGTAGACGTCGAATAAACTAAAGCTGACTGGCGGATTTAGCGTTGCTTAATGAATTGAAGTTTAGCCTTTTTCTTTCTGGTAAACCTTAGCAATTTGATCATGAAACTATTTTAAAAACAAAACACATGTATGTTGCCCAGTGCAACATTAAATGTCATAGGAAACATAACTTAATACAACTGGTCTCTGAATGTGGAGGAAAGTATACAGGCCAGTTTCAACCGCCGGAAATCACATTATCTCCCTTATGGCTACTGCTTTATTCGTGCCCTAACTAGATGATTTTCAGGCCGCTTCATCTCATTCAGGTTACCCTTGTTTCAATACATATGTACACAACAAAAAGGATATACCTCAAAAGAAAAAATAGAAATTCGATGTAAAAATGTCTAAAGTGTAACAACTTAAAAACATCTAATATATGTGTTGGTCACACCACTATATCCGACGTTTATTATATCCCCCACATACTGCCATGTGGGGGATCATGTCGGACAGAAATATTCACAGAAACTTTATTTTGCAAAGATGTGTCGTGAAATAAGTGCTACAGCCAAAGAGAAAAGTAAATGCCCACTGCTCAGAGGATTTAAAGAGCGTGTGAAGGTGTGCTAGTGATGTCAAGCGTCCAGTGTCTAGTTTTCCCCAAGGCCCCTGCTAGGATGTTATTTTCAATGTCCACTGTCTGCTATTTTATGCATAGAACATTTTGCGTCAAGATTATCATTTGGTCTCCATGGTCACCCAGATGTGTGAAGAAAACGCAAGAGTAAATGCAGCGTGCGATGATGACCACGGCCCGACAGATGTGAGTTGAGGTCATACATGCAGAGATTACATCTAAAAGTCATGTTGACATCGCAGCCTGCTGGATGTGCATATGTGCGTAGAGGCTGAGATTCATGTTGTCATCGATACCTGTTAGAGGTGTAGGCGTGCGTAGAGGCTAATATTCAAGTTATCACGTTAGCCTGCTGGATGTGCATATTGACATAGAGGCTGAGGTTCATCTTGTCACCCATGCCTGTTAGATGTGTACGCATGCGTAGAGGCAAATATTCCTGTTATCACGTTAGTCTGCTGGACATGCATATTGACATAGAGGCTGAGATTCATCTTGTCACCCATGCCTGTTAGATGTGTACGCATGCGTAGAGGCAAATATTCATGTTATCACGTTAGCCTGCTGGACATGCATATTGACATAGAGGCTCAGATTCATGTTGTCACCGAGGCCTGTTGGATGTGTACGCATGCTTTGCGGTTAATATTCAAGTTATCACGTTAGCCTGCTGGACAAGGTGTGCTGGATGTTGGATCCGATAATGACGCAGGTGTGGATGATGTTGGATCTGACGACGAAGCAGTTGTAGTAAATATTTGATCCGATGATGTAGCAGCTAGGTGTGGTTGATGTTGGATCCGATGATGAATCAGGTGTAGAAGATGTTGGATGCGATAATGAAACAGGTGTTGTTGATGTTGGATTCGATAATAAAGCAGGTGTGCTTGATGTGGGAAACGATGACATAGAAGGTGGGGTTGATATTAGATCCGATGGTGAAGCAGGTGCAGTTGATGTTAGATCCGACTTTGAAGAAGGTGTAATTAGTGTTGAATCCGAGGATGAAGCATGTGTAGCTGATTTAAGGTCCGATGAAACAGTTGTTGTAGATGTTGGCTCCGATGAAGCTGTTGTAGTTGAAGTTGGATCCGATGATAAAGCAGGTGTGGTTGATGTTGGATCTGATGACGAAGCAGGTGTAGTTGATGTTGGATCCCATAATAAAGAAGGTGTGGTTGATGTTGGATCTGATGATGACGCAGATGTAGTTGATTGTAAAAACTCCAAGGGTTGCCTTCTATTTCATGTTGTGTGTAAACTCCAAGGGCGGCCTTAAGCTTCTATCCCATGTTGTATATAAACTACAAGGGTGGCCTTCTGTTTCATGTTGTGTGTAAACAGCAAGGGTGGGCTTCTATTTCACGTTGTGTGTAAACGACAAGGGCTGCCTCAAGCTTCTGTCCCATGTTGTATACATGGGATCTCATGACGAAGCAGGTGTAGTAGATGTTGGATCCGAGGGTGAATCTGGTGTAGTTGATGTTTGATCCCATAATAAAGAAGGTGTGGTTGATGTTGGATCTGATGATGACGCAGGTGTAGTAGATGTTGGATCCGATGATGAACCAGGTGTAGTAGATGTTGGATCCGATGATGAACCAGGTGTAGTAGATGTTGGATCCGATAATGAACCAGGTGTAGTTGATTTTGGATCCGATGATGAGCCAGGTGTAGTAGATGTTGGATCCTATGATGAACTAGGTGTAGCAGATGTTGGATCCGATGGTAAAGCAGCTGTAGTTGATATTATTTCCGATGATGAAGCAGTGGCGGTATTTGACGTGTAGGTTACAGTTAGTAGATCTGACAGCGAAGCAGGTGAAGATGATATCTAACGGAAAGGACTCTGTTGCAGATGTTATTGTATTTGACGGGGAGGTCTCTGTTACAGATGTTATTGTATTTGACGGGGAGGTCTCTGTTGCAGATGTTATTGTATTTGACGGGGAGGTCTCTGTTACAAATGTTATTGTATTTGACGGGGAGGTCTCTGTTACAGATGTTATTGTATTTGACGGGGAGGTCTCTGTTACAGATGTTATTGTATTTGACGGGGAAGTCTCTGTTACAGATGTTATTGTATTTGACGGGGAAGTCTCTGTTACAGATGTTATTGTATTTGACAGGGAAGTCTCTGTTACAGATGTTATTGTATTTGACAGGGAAGTCTCTGTTACAGATGTTATTGTATTTGACGGGGAGGTCTCTGTTACAGATGTTATTGTATTTGACGGGGAGGTCTCTGTTACAGATGTTATTGTATTTGACGGGGAAGTCTCTGTTACAGATGTTATTGTATTTGACAGGGAAGTCTCTGTTACAGATGTTATTGTATTTGACGGGGAGGCATCTGTAACAGATGTTATTGTATTTGACGGGGAGGTCTCTGTTACAGATGTTATTGTATTTGACGGGGAAGTCTCTGTTACAGATGTTATTGTATTTGACAGGGAAGTCTCTGTTACAAATGTTATTGTATTTGACGGGGAGGTCTCTGTTACAAATGTTATTGTATTTGACGGGGAGGTCTCTGTTACAGATGTTATTGTATTTGACAGGGAAGTCTCTGTTACAGATGTTATTGTATTTGACGGGGAGGTCTCTGTTACAAATGTTATTGTATTTGACGGGGAAGTCTCTGTTACGGATGTTATTGTATTTGACGGGGAAGTCTCTGTTACAGATGTTATTGTATTTGACAGGGAAGTCTCTGTTACAGATGTTATTGTATTTGACAGGGAAGTCTCTGTTACAGATGTAATTGTATTTGACGGGGAAGTCTCTGTTACAGATGTTATTGTATTTGACGGGGAAGTCTCTGTTACAGATGTTATTGTATTTGACAGGGAAGTCTCTGTTACAGATGTTATTGTATTTGACGGGGATGTCTCTGTTACGGATGTTATTTTATTTGATGGAGAGGTCTCTGTTACAGATGTTATTGTCTATTATCCCTATTTAACATAGATAGAATGTAACATAGATAGAAGACCGAAAATAACAGCGAAACAATTAACTGATGATATTTAAATGTGTTGAAAGGTTATATAGGTTTGTTGCAGGGAACCGAGGAATATATCGACCCATCCGACATCGACTTCCACCGGGTCAAATAGTGATAAATTAAAGAAGGTTTTTGTCGGGATCATGAAGTTCGACAAGGGAAGCTTTCAATGTATAAACAAAGACACTAACGCCTTTATTTAGATTAGATTACTCACTATAACCAGTATAAGAATCATCCATCATATACCTACTCATGATAATGATAATTATCATAATCATCATCCTGACAAATGAAAGCTACTCCGAAGTTTACAAACTTTGCGAGATAATCACAAATGATAAATACACGCATGTTTTCATCACTTGAGACAGGGAGGGAAATGTTGTCAGCAATGTGTATACTGGTGTAGCACCTGAATGAGGCGTTGCATCGCAGAATGGGGACGTTGGTGTAGACGTCAGTGATGTCGATGGAGTTGACCTTGGAGTAATGTTGTCAGCGATTGTAGTTGTGGTTGTTGTGTCAGTAGTTCTCTGTGCAGAACCTGAAATGAGCGATATTGGTATTGAAATCAATAAGTCGTAACATGATGCTTGGCCACAGCAGAGGATGTTGCAGGCGATGGGTGAAATTTGTTTGCTGTTTAACGCCGCTCTCAGCAATATTCAAGCTATATGACGACGGCCTGTAAATAATCGAGTCTGGACCAGACAATCCTATGATTGATATCATGAGCATCGTTTCACGCAATTGGGATACGATGGCATGCATCAATCAAGTCAGCGAGTCTGTAACCTGATCCCGTTAGTCGCCTCTTAAGACAAGTATAGTCACCTTTTACGGCAAGTATGGATCGCTGAAGTAGAGCGGTGGCTGGGTCAGTATGGAGACTCTATGGGAAGGAAAGATATTCCTTTTTCACCCATTTGATGACAAAAATAAAAAAATAATATGTTCAATATATATACGCAACAAAAAAAGTAGGTATACACCACATTAAAGTGTTATTTGTATTGTTCCATACAACTGAAGGACGTGCTTTGTACCAGTGGGCCTGATGTAGAATCTGGAACACATAGGTCAAGGACACTATGCTTCCATCCCATCCGGGTTCACGATCACCCGGTTTCAGAAATCATGCAGAAGAGAATACGTGCCCACGAGAGGGAAAGGCATACAGTCACTTATCATTCTGTATGAGATGTAACCTACGTCACTGACTAGGCAACACTAACAGGTGGGATGTTCCAGTCATGCATGAGGACCTGTTCCATTAGTGAGAGTCAAAAAATGGCTGAGGTTGTCTTTTCACATGCCTCAGTTCATCACGGATGTGTTTGATGTTACAAAGACCTGCCCAGCGCAGACTATTGGCTGTCTGTGTCGGAAATTACCCGCTCGAGCAGTATAGGCACCGTTAGTCTAGCGAAAGGCTACTTCCGGTACCAGCATTTCCGGTGACAAACCTATATACTCATGAACTGGTTTTGCTTTCGAAATGCGCGACCGCCAAAGCTTATTTTGCTAGACGGGACGAGACCACACATGGTTGTCACCGCTGTTGACAGCCATCATTGTTGGCTAATTTCGGAATGATAACATCGGTGATTTGTCATTCCTACAAAGTTTATCGGTTCCTGACAACTGACAATCAGTGCAGTACTATCCTTTAGACGTATATTTTATTCGCAGTGTTTTATTAATACGCCTTACGGAGGATGTAATGCGTGTTTCTGTGATTATTTATGAAGATGCAACTACTGATAGGTAGGCCAAATTACCATTGTACATGAGTAAACATTGTAAACGTGAAATTTGTTTTATTGAATTGTATTTATGGACTCTGTATTTGTGAAACTTAAAATCAAATATGTATTTTCGGGTCATATTTACTGTCAAACTCCTTTAATTTAAGTAATTCATTTTCAAATTATTTTTCATATATACGATGTTTGATTAAACAATGACATTTTAATCGTTGACAGGTTTCAGATATAAGGCAATCTATGGTGGAAAGATCTATTGATGCCCGAACTCAACAGGACCGTCAGCTATCAATCCGCACCCTGAAAATGATACCATCGCATGTACCCATTCTTACCTCACTCCTGAGTTCGACACAATCGGGATATCCCTATTCATCATAAAAAAACCGTTTCAAGACCGAAAATAACAGCGAAACAGTTAACTGATAATATTTAAGTGTGTGCAAAGATTATATAAGTTTTTTGCAGGGATCCGGTAAATATATCGACTCATCCGACTTCGACTTCAACCGGGTCAAATAGTGATAAATTAAAGAAGGTTTTTGTCGGGATCATGAAGTTCGACAAGGGAAGCTTTCAATGTATAAACAAAGACACTAACGCCTTTATTTAGATGAGATTACTCACTATAACCAGTATAAGAATCACCCATCATATACCTACTCATAATAATGATAATTATCATAATAATTATCATAACAAATGAAGGCTACTCCAATTTTGCAAACTTTGCGAGATAATCACATGCGATAAATACACGCATGTTTTCATCACTTCAGAAAGGGAGGGAAATATTGTCAGCAATGTGTATACTGGTGTAGCACCTGAATGAGGCGTTGTATCGGAGATCGGGGACGTTGATGTAGACGTCAGTGATGTCGAAGAAGTTGACTCCCTTGGAGTAATGTTGTCAGCGATTGTTGTTGGGGTTGTTGTGTCAGTAGTTCTCTGGGCAGAACCTGAAATGAGCGATATCGTAAAAGGATGCTTGGCAGAGGATGTTGCAGGGGTGGGCTTGGCGATGGGTGAAGTTTGTTGGTTTGTTTGTTTGTTGTTTAACGCCGCTCTCAGCAATATTCAAGCTATATGACGGCGGTCTGTACATAATCGAGTCTGGACCAGACAATCCAATGATTGACATCATGAGCATCGTTCCACGCAATTGGGATACGATGACATGCATCAACCAAGTCAGCGAGCCTGACCACCCGATCCCGTTAGTCGCCTCTTACGACACACAAAGTCACCCTTTACGGCAAGTATGGGTCGGTGAAGTAGAGCGGTGGCTTTGTCAGTATGGAGTCTATGGGAAGGAAAGATATTCATCTTTCACCCATGTGATGACAAAAATTAAAAAAATATGTTTAATGTATATACGCAACCAAAAAAGTAGGTATACACCACATTAAAGTGTTATTATGTATTGTTCCATACAACTGAAGCACGTGCTTTGTACCAGTGGGCCGGATGTAGAATCTGGAACACATAGGTTAAGGACACTATGCTTCCATCCGGGTTCACGATTATCTGGTTTCACAAAACATGCAGTAAAGAAATACGTGCCCACGAGAAGGAAAGGCATACAGTCACTTTACATTCTGTATGAGTGAGTGAGTGAGTTGGGTTTAACGCCGCTTTTAAGAGTATTCCAGTTATATCGCGGCGTGTCAGCTTAAAATGTGGGAGGAAAGCCCGAAGTGATGCAGGTCTCAGACGTATACCACTTCGATGAAACCCACGAGCACGGGATTGGTGCTGACAAATCCTTGAAACATAATCGGGGCGAACCGGGATTCGAACCCACAATCATATGTGTCTGGCGTGCCCAAGGGAGGCAACTCTGCACATCGAATCGCGGCGCCTTAGACGACTGGGCCACCCGTGCCCCCAACATTCACCTGACTCCTGAGTTCGACACAATCGGGATATCCCCATTCATCATAAAAAAAACGTTTCAAGACCGAAAATAACAGCGAAATCATTAACTGATAATATTTAAATGTGTTCAAAGATTATATAAATGTGTTGCAGGGATCCGGTAAATATATCGACTCATCCGACATCGACTTCAGCCGGGTCAAATAGTGATAAAAGTGAAAAGGGTTTTGTCGGGATCATGAAGTTCGACAAGGCAAGCTTTCAATGTATGTACAAAACACTATAACGCCTTAATTTACATGGGATTACTCAATATAATAAGTAAAGGAATCACCCATCATATGCCTACTCATAATAATGATAATTATCATAATAATTATAATAAATGAAGGCTATTCCAATTTTACAAACTTTGCGAGATAATCACATACGATAAATACACGCATGTTTTCATCACTTCAGAAAGGGAGGGAAATGTTGTCAGTAATGTGTATACTGGTGTAGCACCTGAATGAGGCGTTGTATCGGAGATCGGGGACGTTGATGTAGACGTCAGTGATGTCGAAGAAGTTGACTCCCTTGGAGTAATGTTGTCAGCGATTGTTGTTGGGGTTGTTGTGTCAGTAGTTCTCTGGGCAGAACCTGAAATGAGCGATATCGTAACGTAAAATTAAATATGTATTGTTGGGTCATATTTACTGTCAAACACCTTCAAATTATTTTTCTTATATTTGTCAGTTAGAAGTAGAAAGTTATTTTTCAAATGTATTCTTTTTGAAGGAGACAGTTGGGTTTTGTGCATTGTAAATAGATGTGTCTGACAGTGAAAATGGCATAGAAAAGAAAAGTGATAACTCGGTCGGCGATTGAGAAAACAAATGAATCATAAATACTTTGAATGAGACACTTTGGTAAAATTAATTCTGAAAAGTTGAATTATCAAAGGCAAAGCAAATATATCACACAAGTCATCAAAGGTCGCAAACGTGTAATGTGGACAATGAAATATAAATCGTCTTAAACTAGATGGTGGACCTTGAGTTAACGAGGTTTGACTAAACAATGACATTTCAATCGTTGACAGGTTTGAGATATTAAGTAATCTATGGTGGGCTATTGATGCCCGAACTCAACAGGACGGCATAAATAGCATGTGCATAAATTGTTGTGTAACTAACATATTTAGTTTCTACATCAAATATGAATAGATATAACAATGCAGATGTATTTCCTCTGCACTTTTAGACTTGCGCTAAAATTTAACTCTCATCCACATCTCTAGGATGACCGTATGGAAGTTCACTGTTTCATTGGTAATCTGTTGGTAATCTGTTGTATTGTCTGGGATTTTTTTTACAGATGAACTGAAAATATATTATCATACATTCAATGTGAATTTATGATAAGTTATCCAATGTCAATTCAATATCACTGGTTAATACCAGAAATCTTCAAACACATTTCTATTGTGTAGCATTATTCACACGTAAAAAACAATAAATAAGCTTTAGATTAGTGTAAAAGATACTGACTTGTGGTGTCAGGGAGGTGCACGGGAAGGATGTCGGAGTTAACTCGAAAGATAAATTTGCCAGCAACGCCAACGTTAGACAGTTTAGTAATGTTGATGAGTTCATCAGACTTGGATCCCGGCAGCAGGTACGACTTCATCCCATCACCAGCTAAGAAGCCGCTCTGGAACACACAATTAGCAGATATGTAGTCAGATATGTCTACAGCCAGGTCAGATACACATTGTTAACGTCGCACAGTCAGCGACGTGTACAGCCATCTGAGATACACATTGTGAACGTCACAAGTCAGATAAATAAGCAGCCAGCTTAGATACACAATGTGAACGTCACAAGTCAGATAGATATATAGCCAGCTTAGATACACAATGTGAACGTCACAAGTAAGATAGATATATAGCCAGCTTAGATACACAATGTGAACGTCACAAGTAAGATAGATATATAGCCAGCTTAGATACACAATGTGAACGTCACAAGTCAGATAAATATACAGCCAGCTTAGATACACAATGTGAACGTCACAAGTCAGATAAATATACAGCCAGCTTAGATACACAATGTGAACGTCACAAGTCAGATAAATATACAGCCAGCTAAGATACACAATGTGAACGTCACAATTCAGAGAAATATACAGCCAGCTTAGATACACAATGTGAACGTCACAATTCAGACAAATAAACAGCCAGCTTAGATACACAATGTGAACGTCACAAGTCAGATAAACATACAGCCAGCTTAGATAGACAATGTGAACCTCACAAGTCAGATAAATATACAGCCAGCTCAGATACACAAAGCATTTAGTTGTATTTAAATTATTATGACACCCTGAATACAATCCGACCTCGGCAATGTCGGATAACTCCATTTTTTGTACAATGGGGTTAAGTTTGGTGTTCGCAAAATTTTCAAGTCGATTAGCTGCACAATTTCTCCAAACACGGGTTGTCGTAGCTTTCCCACTTTTGGAAGCGATCGTTCGACCATTGCGTTTATCTACGTTGCCCAGCTACATCTATGGAGAACAACTCACGAGACACTTCCCTCTCAAAAATAACGTCGTACAATTTACGACGTCATCAGGTTGGGAGCGCACGTTCTTCATTGTACTTCGTAGTTCTTTACATCCCGCCATGACATAGCTTCACTGTTGCTGACTGAGTAATTCAGGAACAGAAACCAAACCTACAACCCAACCCACCCCACCCCTACCCACCCCACCCCACCCCACCCCCCAAGCCCCAAGCCCCAAGCCCCAAGCCCCAAGCCCTCATTGTTCTTTGAGGTACTTTACATCCCGCCATGATATAGCTTCACTATTGCTGACTGAGTAATTCAGCAACAGAAACCAAACCTACCCCCCCCCCCCCCCCCCCCGCCCCCCCAAGCCCCAAGCCCCCGTTGTTCTTTGAGGTTCTTTACATCCCGCAATGATATACATGTACCTTCACTATTGCTGAATGCGTAATTCAGGAAGAGAAACTAAACCTACACCCCACCCCACCCCACCCCAACCAAGTCCCAAGCCCCAAGCCCCAAGCCCCAAGCCCCAAGCCCCAAGCTCCAGCCCCCAGCAGGGAGACAGTGCCAATGGTCTCACATGTTGCGCCCGGGTCATCCGCCTGACGTTTTGACTGTGCTGTTTGTTCCCCAGAACAGCGTCTGGTGACAAGAGTCAACCAATCGTCTCTGGACACTCCAAGTTGCTGTGCAGAGGAGCGTCAGTTCGTCGAGCGAGGATCCTCTAGTCTTGGATTCGAACCCCAGATTCACCCATATAGTGAACATTGTCATCACTATACCCATGCTTGGGGGCTTCAGCAAATGTGTAAACTGTTCCATCACTAGATTCGGGTTTTCCTCCCATTTTAACCTGACAGGCCGTGATATAGCTCAATCTGTTCACAGCAGTGTCGAACCGAACTCACTCACTTACAAGATAATCGACCATATTCATAACTGAACCTCGACATGCGTTTTATGCATTACTATTGTATCAACTATATATCTCATACTCTTTCAAACAGAACCAACTTACCTGTGTACGAACGGAGGGTTCTGTGCCTTGATATAGAGCCAGAAAGTCAGAATTATCATACACCCATTCTATCCTTTCATAGAACAGTATCACGACTGACGCCGTGCCATCAGTTGCCATGGTGATCTGGAATGTGTCGACCTAAAGGAACATGAAAAGAAATGCGTAAACAAAATTGACTTATCAACTATTATAGCTAAAATGGATAGACTTATCATTAAACCGCTCGCATGTTAACAGAAATCAGCGGGCCACTGTAACTTGATAATGCCCTCACATTGCTTTACGACGGGCCATTATCACGCCCGTTGTTAGGTGACGCCATAGGGTAGGGATAGGTGACGTCACGTTCAATAGTGACGTCATCTGGTTTGTTCTATGACGTTTCCATATTTGTAAAATTGGGTGAGTGACATTCATATTTATTGCAGTAAATAATTCAAAGCCGATATTGTTGTTTCTTGTTATTTTATAACAAATTCCATCCATTTAGCTATAATAACGGTAACGCTCTTTTTCAGGGCATTATCATTTGCAGAAGCCCGAGGTCTTTTCAACTTCCCTCCTTCGTCGGCCAGTTAATGGAAGACCTCGGGCTTCTGCAAATGATAATGCCCTGAAAAATAGCGTTACCCTTATATTATCATCGGCCCGTTTTTGTATTCGATGTTAACCAGTTACACCGGTCGTCTTTATTTTGAGTTACTCGTTGAACCTCCCCCATAGGCTGCGCACAAATCTTGACTACAGTCGTCACCCTTATAAGTGTTCTTTATTCAGACGCCATCGTGGGCTGTCAGTGTGCAATATTGCGAGACCCAGGAGGGGCTATGGTGATAAGTGAAAAGTCTACATACTGTTCATTAAAACATCGGGATGGTCCAGACACAGTGCAGAGTTACGTCCCTTAGACCTATGACCGTTGGTTCCAATCCCGGCTCGCCCTGACTATGTTTAAAGGTTTGTCGGCACCATACCGTGGGTTTCACGAGGTACCTGCGTCTACGAACCGCATGACTTCGCACCATCCTCTAACATCAAACTCACACGCCGCTAAAACTGTCATAGTGTTCATGTCGGCGTCAAACCTAACACACTCACACTCCTGGGCAACTTGCCTTGTTGTCTTCTGACTTAAATGTAGCAACATCGGCCCACGTCGCCAACAGTACCCAGGACGGCGTATAGTCTGCTGGGAACTCCTGGTATCGCCTGACGTCTTCGGCGATAGTTTGACGTAATGCTGAAGACGTACTGAGGACGTACCAGACGGTTCCACTTACGGTTACATCAATGTCAGTGCACAGGCCACACACTGCTGGAGTATTTCCGGGATCAGAGGTTGTGTCTTGAAATGTTCCAGCCTTAATGAATGTCACAGAACCATCATTGTTCACCTGGAATGGAAAATTTTCTCGTAAATGGACACATTGACAAAAATGACATTAGTCCATTATATTCCTACAGAAGGGAATTTCTCTTACCTGTTCCAATGACGCTGCAATATATACACCGACATTGTTAAAATCAAACTTGACAAAGCTTTGATTTAATACCATGAATTTGTGTATATGACACAACAAACACTGATAAATAATTGTTTGTTTTTTCATCCCGTTTGGCAGCGATAACCTTTAAGAAATGGGTTTTCATCTACGGCGCTGTATCTTTATTCAGGAACACCCATAAACCTATTGACGGGGACACATAAAGAAATAGGGCTGACTCTTGTTTTGTTCAGCTTGACAGGAGAGAGAATACCGGCACACTATATTATGGCGGACCAATGATCGCAAACTCTATGTCTAGATTCTCTTTACAGATTACAACATACTTGAATACAATATGGATAAACCTGCAATTTACAGAGGCTAGACTTTCTCTACGACAGAAGGACGCAACAAGGATATATGAACACAAGGCTAGACTTTCACTACAACAGAAGGACGCAACACGGATATATGAACACAAGGCAAGACTTTCACTACAACAGATGGATGCAACACGGATATATGAACACAAGGCTAGATTTTCACTACAACAGAGGGACGCAACACGGATATATGAACACAAGGCTAGACTTTCACTATAACAGAAGGACGCAACACGGATATATGAACACAAGGCTAGACTTTCACTACAACAGAAGGACGCAACACGGATATATGAACACAAGGCAAGACTTTCACTACAACAGATGGATGCAACACGGATATATGAACACAAGGCTAGATTTTCACGACCACAGATGGATGCAACACGGATATATGAACACAAGGCAATGCTTTCACTACAACAGATGGATGCAACATGGATATATGAACACAAGGCTAGACTTTCACTACCACAGATGGACGCAACACGGATATATGAACACAAGGCTAGACTTTCACTACAACAGAAGGACGCAACAAGGATATATGAATACAAGGCTAGACTTTCACTACCACAGATAGATGCAACACGGATATATGAACACACGGCAAGACTTTCACTACGGCAGATAGATGCAACATGGATATATGAACACAAGACTAGACTTTCTCTTCGACAGATAGATGCAACATGGATATATGAACACAAGACTAGACTTTCTCTTCGACAGATAGATGCAATACGAATAAATGAAGATAAAGCGACAAAACCCTTTCCATATCCAATAGAAATATCTGCAAAATGCAGAGTCGATTGTACGATTCCAACTTTATCATGAGCATGTGTTTATGAATCACTATCAAATAGTAATGATACCATGTGGTCGCGAAATGTGAGCGAATCCTGCCCTACCTGGGCATCCGTCACAAATACATGCAAAGGCAAGTCAAAGGTTCATCTGGAAAAAAAACCAAAGCTAGTCTGTCTCTACGACAATTGGATGCAACACGGATATATGAACACAAGCTAGACCTTTTCTACGGCTAGAAGAACCAGGAAAAGATGATATCATATGACTTTTTACAATTTTTAACTTGAAATGTTCGAACAGAAAGGGGTGTCATCGTCAGATCGTCTCGTTGTCACAGACATATCTAGTTATATCTAGTAATATATCATGTTCTACATTTTGATAACTTCGTAGAGATTTTTAAACCTTTACATTACTTTTACTTATCCTCAGGCAAACACGAACTATTTGTCCACACCAAGACGTTGATTTAGTTAAACCTAACGATCTATGGAATCTCACTGGAGAGTTTACCCTTCTTAGCAAGTCCCAGGAATAACTCCTGTGCTGGTTCCATGTTCGGGACATTGTCGTAAGGAGGTATATAGTAAGTGAAATGATAAAAGCTTTAAATATGTTTGAGAAAGCGAAACAACAAACAGTTTTGAGCGATTTAGTCGTGACAGTGACCTTTGACCTACTCGAGAGATATATGCCAAAGTAACTCTCTTGGTCCAGGAGGGATAAGTCCATTTCATAATATCGTCTGGTATCAATAACGTATTCAAGACATTACCTCAAGATTGACCTGAACTTGTGACCTAACTGTAGCTTTGACATAAATGACATTTGATGTGGTACAATTTTTAAGATACGTGCAAACTTGAAGTTCCATGCATGTAGATATGACCAAGCCTGAGACAGTTGCAATAATATAATTATGTTGTACGAAAACGTTAACGCTGACCTTGACCTAATCTAACCGACCATGACGAATCGTGACCAATTATTTTCTCCCACAGGAGCTGAATAGCCAGTTTAAGAAATGCATAAATGCGTGTTGAGAAGCTGCAACCACAAACATTTTAGTAAGCCTTCTCTATCTCGTGACCTAGATGTTGTCATGCCATTTGCCAAACTATTTCACAAGACCACTTGGAAGATTGACACCTATAATCTTTGCAATTTAGGAGAAAAATCACCGGCAGCTGCGCGCAGTAAAATTCCAAACGACAAATAGAAATAAAGTAATATATGTTGTGTATGTTGTCATATGCATAAGACCCGTGAAGATCCGGGGTAGAATAGGTCTTCAGCAACCAATGCTTTCCGTAAAAGGCGACTGTGCTTCTCGGGATCGGGTGGTCAGGCTCGCTGACTTGGTTGATGCATGTCATCTATCTATTGCGTGGATCGATGCTCATGATATCAATCACTGGATTGCCTGGTCCAGACTCGATTATTAACAGACCGCCGTCATATAGCTGGAATATTGCTATGTGCGGCGTTAAACAACAAACAAACAAACAAATCACATGCATAAAATAAAAAATGCATAAATATATATAGAGATAAAGGTTTGGAAAGAAAGATTAAACAATACAAGGTAGATGCTACACTTCCACTGGCAGAATGTTTATCTGTTTTCGATATTCTTTCACACACATCCTTTAGGCAAGGGCGTTAACTGACTATAAAATCCACTTTCCACTCTAACCTAACTAGACTGGAATTTCCAGGCTCGATCGTAGCGCCACCAGTGGCTATTACGAGTTATATCCCTTTTATGTCCCTCTATTGACCAATCAGATTCCACCTCTCATATCACTTGCATTTGCTTCAAACAAAATGGCTGCGCCCATTCAAGATGATCTGATCGATAATCAAGATCTATATTGTAATAAAACGGGTCTAACACCGCGACGTTCATCAACTCACATGAGCACCTTCATTAAAAACATAAAAAAATATTTGCAAAATAACTGTCGACGCCCAGTTGACGGGACAAATGCTTTGCAAATACTGCAGTCGACCGAAATATGCATGTTGTTTACGAACCAAAAATATCTAGTTTGTTATACGATTTTGATTGGACTATGCACTGACTCGTTAGTGCAGCCAAAATGTAACTCCGGAATTCCAACCTAGTTTGGCAAGGGTGGAAAATGGACTTTTATAGTCCTTGCCTCGGGAAGATGCCATCCGAAGACGATATTGAGGTTATCACGGTAACTGGAGTTTAGAACTAAAGACAATATAGTTCATTTCCCGACACGTGCAAGTTCGTAGCAGATTGTCATGTTAATCCAACTACAAGCTTCAAAAACTGACACATGGCATAGTGCATTCTTTGTAACAACAAAAACCCTGGCGTAGCTTATGTGATGGAAAATACTAAAAAATAAAGAACCCCCCAAGGATAAAGTATGCGGTGTGCTGGATTGTCTCGAAAACATCCTCCCCGCTCGATGTACTGGGACAACGACAGCATGGAGCTATGTGACGTGGATACCCCTTTTTTACGTCACTCGTACACGCAAACTGAAGCCAGAATGGCACACGGGGATTTCTTTCTTTGACTAAAACGAAAACAATTGGTCGCTGGGACTTAAAGACAAGTATTGTACTTTTCTTTAAAAACAACAGCACATGACGACCTTGAAATCGATCCTTAAGTGCCACCACGACAACTCGTTCAGTGCTACTAAGGGATAAGATGCCAAAACATATCCTACTTCTTGAGCCTTTATGCTCAACCTACTCAGTATTGTCTACAAGAAAACGTTATAATCAAAGTGTTATGAGTACACAAAGGATGAAATTAAGGCCAATATCTATCGATAATATCCGATATTTGTCCCTGCATTTTAGCGAAGCTGTATATATGGCAGTGAAGCATGTTGGGAAATGTTTTCTTGGTTTAAGAATAGGCTATCATAATCCATACACATATATAAACAAAGCTTGTGATCACAATACCAAAGTAGATTTAATGCATCAACTGTTCAAGACATCTCTCTCAGATGATCATAAATTGACAAAGTACGTTGGAATAAAAGCCTTACATAAAATAGTCAAACTCATTACTGGCCAGTTACTCTTCTGTTGCTTTTTGCAGAGATCACGCAGAGAGCATTACAAGAAAGCAAATCGTATTTTTAAATTACGTATGGAATACAAAGGTAAATGGTGAAAGATAAATCATGACAAATTATTTAGGAACAGAAAAACGTTTTGAGATTCCTGTTTATAAGTGACTGTTCATTGTATAGCTTACATATACGTGCATGTGATATGAGCTCTTTAGTAAACTTATATACTTCAGTCTAGTACACAGCAACACTTTGACACTTGGCTGTCGATCCTGTAGGTCCAGCCTCAGTAGGCGACATGATGGTTGTAACAACTTGATAGTTGATTGACAGTAAGATCAGGCTATATATCTCTGCTTGTATGCATATAGATTACGAAAGAGGAGACTAACGGGATCGGGTAGTCGGGTTCGCTGACTTTGTTGATGCATGTCATCGTATCCCAATTGCGTAGATCGATGCTGATAATGTCAATCACTGGATAGCTGGATATTGCTGGGTGTGGTGTTAAACAACAAATAAACAAACAACAAACAAAAGCAAACAGACTGATTCTAGTTGTGTAGAAATGGATTAATTTTTATTTCAGGCTAATCATTACACTCATTGTTGAACACATGACTGCTTCTTAGGGGTAATG